ATTCCAACGAGTATGGAGATGATAACACGAAGATGTGGGATGTTGGTGGAGATGCATTTGATTCTATGGAGGATGTGGGGTTTTTAGAGTTTGCGGAACTCTCACTTGATGAGCCCGAGTTGGAAATCGAGTTGATTGTTGAAGAATGATGTTCTTTATTTTTTTACATGCTTTTGTCAAAAACTTTAATCTTGAATTTGTAGTAATGACTTATGTATAGTTTTAATTTTCTATATTTTTAGGTTTTTTTTTGCCGTATCCATGCCGTACCCGTTTTTTACATTTTTAATTTTGCCGTTTTCCGTCCCCGTACCCGTTTTTTGTCCCCGTCCCCGTTTTAGTGCCTCTTAGGACTATCAACCATATACACAAGGAGAGCTAGGGTCAGAATATTAAGAGTTCAAAGCATTTACAAGTCTCTCAAACCAAAACCACTCAACCTATAAAGTCATGCTTGGTCCTGTATACCAAATCAAGAATCACAGGATCCTCAAATAATAAAGCCTCAATGCTTGGTTAATAACTTAATACTGGTTTTTCCCTCAAATTCCATCAATTCCTTTTCATCTATACCATCAATTCGCTTAACATACCAGCTCTACATTTCCGCAAACTCATTAATCCTTGTGCTAAAACTTATTTTTGTAACCCAAAACACCATTTATAATTTGGAGTAGCCTTTTAGTCTTTCCTTTGAATTTCAATCCAAACATCATGATTGTCACCTTATAATCTATGTTCCTCACCCCAAGGAAAAATAAAATATAGATTGGTACCTTCACTCTCCAATAACATGGCTACTTTCTTTGCACATAGTGACATAGCTATGCCTAAAATAAAAACCATGTAATTATGGTATGGTGTATATATGTGCTTCATGAATTATTGTCCAAAAACATTTCTTGTTACTCCAAAATAGCCAAACCTTAAAGCTATCAACCTTAACAATTCAACTTTTGATCATCCACCATGGTCATTCACCCAATTCTATCACCTAATTCCCAGCACCATAATACTCACACAATTTGACTTATTAAAAGAACCCCAGTCCGCCACATAAAAACTTCCTATCCTTTCCCATCATTTTTAGTCAGGATCTCTTCTATATATAGCTCCCTCATTATCTCCTTCAGTTAAAACTTCCATATATGATGCTAAAGTCACCAAATACACAGACATCATAACCACTCCTACCTATACTTTTTATAACTCCAAAAACCCCTCAGTCATGGCAACTTACAAATGCCAATGAATTTCTAAGATATACACATGCCAATGAATTTCTAAGATATGGATCCCAAAAGAGAACAATTACATTGAAAATGCAAAATACATAAGTCATAGGAATGAAACACTGTCGTTCAATATACATGATTACATGATGATTGAGTTTCAATTTAGTTATGTTGATGATGCAAAAACTATAATATCAGTTTAGAAATAAAAAGATGATAGGCCAATACAAGATCAAAACCATAGGCAATCTCTATTGACAATGTGACAATTAATTTCTAAATTTTCATCGTTTTTTTTTTTTATTTTATTTTTTTTATTTTTTTTTTTTTTTTATTTTACGAATGATAGTTTCCATCCAAAACAATTTATTTGACAATCTACTCCAAAGTCAATTTCCATTCCACATCACCCCACTATTGTCTCCACATGAACTCATTTCAGTTAAGGGTGATTTTGAAATCAGGCCTCACTTAGTCGTTATTTTCTACAAATCCTTGAAAAGTGTTAGCTCACATCCCAAATATGAAAAATATCCCATATAGCAGGCAATAAAATTTCTGCAATTCTCCTATTAACCATATATTGCATCCACTGTTATGCAGCATATTAATCCCAACAATATTGTTTCAAAATGTTTTGAGGCATTGAGATTACAATATTTACATCTATCATTCATATATTCCGAGGGTACAATTGTACAAGTTTTTTTAAAAAAAAGGAGAATGAAACAAGAGTAAATGTTTGGATATAAACACTCAATATAAATAGTGCAATAAGCTTGTAAGTTGTAACTACTGCTCGGTAAATTGGTAGAAAAATGAAAACTGTAAATCTTCATCAAATACCATTGAACTTGTTATTCTTATTCCTCAGTCACTACATTGAATGTATAAACCAGCACGGTTAGCTACTTAAAGCTTATCATCAATAGGACCATACCTCAGCAAGAACAGCAGTAAAATACCCTAGTATAATACTTCACTGATACACACATGATTCATGAAGCAATAAATAATAATTTTGGATTACTTCCTTGCATTGTTAAATCAATGGTCAAAAAAATTCAAATTGTGAACTGATAAGCCCACCACTGACTCTAATCACCCATCTTAAACAATGCAACGACACGAAATCAGGCATGACAACATAATAATAAGATAGAGCAGGTCACATACCCAGATCCCACACTTGGAATTTAATGTTTTTGTACTGCACTGTTTCCACATTGAATCCAATAGCTGAAAATGACGATCCCCAAAAAACCAAATCTCAATTAACACTCTAATCACAAGATTAAACACTAATCACAAGAATAAACACTCAAATCAAAGCATAAATCATGATAAATTAAGAGCAGAACACTTACTTGGTATAGTAGAAACTACCTCACCCATCTGAAGCCGATCTGGGGTTATAAGATCAAACACAAAACATCAAAATATAGAAAATTAAAAACTACCCAGATCACAAAACTGAAAATTAGAACATGGGTTGTAATAAAAATTAAGAAAAAAAAAAACATACAGAGAATGGTGGTTTTGCCAGCATTATCAAGACCAAGGACGAGGATTCGAGCTTCTTTATTGCCGAAGAGAGAAGAAAAGAGACGAGTAAACAAAATACCCATTTGTAAATTGGCAGAAAATCAGCGCATCAAATGGGATAGATCTAAGAAATTGCAGAAATTCTTTGGGTATCTTATCTTCTTGTCACTGCAACAAAATCAATAGAAAGCAATCAAGTGAGAATGAAGAATAAAAGAGATTAAATAAAATTGCATGAGGAAAATGTTGAAGCCTTGAAGGAGAAAGGGTGTGCCTGAGTGAGAGACAGAGACTGGTGATCTGGGCAGAAGAATTCTGCAAATCATAGAAATTAATTCAAGAAAATATAGAATCGGAAGATGAAAGGAAGGAAGTGTGGGAAAATGCCAAATTCTTCCTTTTCCTCTGTATTCTATTTAGGGGTGTCCATAATTCGGATAAAAACCGAAATTCAATCCATTCCAAACCGAATTATTAATTCGGATCGGATCCGAATTTTAAATCGAATTGGATCGGATTGAGATTTTTTGGAAATTCGGATTTTCGGATTGGATCGGATTTACCCTAATTGGATCCAATCCAAACCGAAAACCGAATTGTAAAATTAAGCTTGTATAAATATGGATTTCTTTAATTTTTGAAGTTTAGGTCAAATACTTACTACTACAAAAAATAAATTAGGGAGACTTTGTATTAATTAATTAATGACTTGACGTTGAGCTATTTATTTTACTCATTATTTAAAAGACTTTTAGTTGTATTAAAGCTTTATTTTTATAATTGTATTAGGAGCTAAAAAATAATGTATTATAATTCGGATTTTCGGATCGGATCCAAATAACCGAATTTTAATTCGGATTGGATCAAGAGAGAAATTCGGATCGGATCGGATTGAAAAATTGAAAACCGAATTATATTTCGGATTGGATCGGATTTGGACTAAATCCAAACTGAAAACCGAACGGACACCCCTAATTCTATTCCCCTGATCCCCTCTCTCTTACGGAGTATTTTTTTCTTTTTTCTTTTTTTAATTTTATTTTCCGTTTGTTTAACATGTGTTTTTTAGACCGATAAATCCAATTTAATCCGAATTACTCTATTCGTGCTTGAATTGTATTTAACTTTGAATGATAATAGACAATTATACCCGTGATCCATCCAAAAAGCTATTTCGAATAATTGATATTAGATGAGTATGACTCTATAGTTCACACGTTGAAACTTATGTAATTGACTTATTGATTTATCAACATGAGATCAATGTCAAAAACTGGGATTATGAGATCATAGTTTAATTAGTTTTTCTCATCAAAAGAAAAGTCATATTGGAAGAGAAACATGAATGTTAAAAGTAAGGAATAAAATGTGATATATTTTCTTTTTTTAAGGAAATTGATATCCACCATTACAAACCAAAAGTGAGGGGAAAGAATTAATGATCCTCACACCCAAGGCCCCAAGTGCCACAGTGGTTACTCGGTTAATTTGATACTGGTAATGAGTGATGAGTAGCATAAATAGTGACCCCTCCACCGGTTAGAGCTCCAAGAATCGTAGAGTTTTTGAAGCCATACATGCTAAAAATGTTTGTTCATGCTCGAACAAGTGATTCACTCTCCGACAGTCACAGTTTCTGCTTCCGCAAGCTCACAGGAGATCAAACATGGGCATCACGCGTGATGTGGCAGCTGCCGCAAAAATTGGGAATATTCTTCAAGAGAGAACACAAGTATCATGGTAAGATCAAAGCAGTTGTTGATAATATGAGAGAAGCCGGTGTGGAGTGAAATTACTTAAAATTCAACTACTTTATCAATGTGCACAATCATACATGGTGTAGTACAAAAATAAGGTGTGTAGTGTGTTTCCATAGTTCTCGATGGACCTTGTAGTCTATCGAGTGTAGTAGTGTACTAGTGGACGACCCAACCAACTTATTCGGGCCATAACTTGCCGTTAGCTATATCAGAGGTCTTTGATCAGTCACGAGTAGTAGTCTAGTAGGGTGCAGTCCTATTTGACCGACTTTCACTTACATAAACTTATCTCTACTTTAGCCTTTTTTTATAAACCCTTATGGCCTCATTTGGGAGATGACATGTGTAAACACCAATTCAAAAGTTGCATAAATTAGTTGCTTCTGTATTCTGAGACCCTAGTTATGTTATGAATCTATATAAAACTGAGAAGGTTCAGCATCATAGACAATTTTGAGACTGAAACATAAATATTTTTTTTTGAAACCAGCGAACATAAATATTTATTTCACAGTACTCTGCCAAGAGCAATGTCGATCAACGATTTAACATACATTTGATGCATTACACTGGATGCAGACAAGATCTAGTTCCCTAACTCTTCTAAACCCTTACGTATGTGTTATTCTAAATAGACATGGTGTAGAATGCTCTTTCGGCCTCTCCTATACACTCTACAACGCGGAATGGAAAATCATCTCAATGAACTCCTGCCAAATCAGACAACATAACAAAGGAGCAACATGTCAGAATAAAAGCTACGAATGATTAGTTAAAGAACCACAAAATTACAAGAAAGAATCACTCCATGAAAAAAGAGAAATGCAATGGCTTAGTTACCTGTTTGCCAGATGGAACTTTAGGTTCACCCCATTCAATGGCCTTCTTCTCAAGATACTCAAAATCAGCCTTGCCCGCCTGGATGAGGGATTGTCAAGTTAATGTCTGAATGATGCATATTCATACTACAGGATAGATGTTCCGCTTTAACAATTACAGAAAAAAGATTACCTCTATTAAAGCCCCAATCTCTGAGTCGAAGCTCTGATATCTCTTCTTCACAAAGTTGTCAAGTGTTCCACCCTTCATTATGAAATATAAACCACAATATTGCTTAGGTGTAACAGGTAAAGAGAAAATGAACAAGCGTAGAATGCATAAGTTTGCACCATTACCTCAATTAACTTGGCAGCACTTCGGAGTCCACGAGCCATTGTATCCATTCCACTAATATGTGCAATGAACAAGTCCTCCACATCTGTGCTCTCTCTTCGGCTGAAATACAAAAAATCATCAAGCATTAATAAGATCGGCCAAAATATTAAACCCAACAATGCACGGAAAATCTTTCTTTACATGGACCGCTTGATCTCATGTATTCACTTTTGCCTTCTGTCTTTTTCTTAGTCATAATAACTACTAAAGTCAATTTTAAACATTATTATATAATTAATGTACTATATAAACCTATATATCCCCTACAAACCAGTTCCAGGAATTTTCCTTCACCTATAAGTTTAGAAAATGATGCGCCTCCAGTTCAGTTTTAGATCTTAATTACTTCACGTTTCTATTCTGTACAACATAGTCTTGAATTCAACAAAGAAGGGTACACAAAGTTCCCTTTTGAAAAACAAACAAGAATAACTTACAGTTTAGCATCGAAGTTGAATCCTCCAGGAGCCAACCCACCCTATAGAAGAAAAAAAAGGTCAGATCACTAACAGGTCTTCTTAATTCCTACACAAATTTGTCTAGGAGGCATTTGACTTACATTTTTTACGACAGTGAGCATAACCTTGGTAGCTTCTGCAATATCTGTCATGAACTCATCGGTATCCCAGCCTGTAACAACCCAATTCACAGTGAGGCAACAAAATTATCTTTACGTATATATGTAGCTGGGTAGAGCACTCTTCACATCCCTCTTCCCCCAACAAACAAACAAAAAAGCTATACCAGTTTGAGGATCTCCAGAGTTTGCATCAATATTTCCAAGCAAGCCATTTATTCTAGCAGTCTCAAGGTCATGATGACAGCTGCAAACATCCGCATTATATTATAACAAGAAATTTATACATGCCTTTGTGCTATTCAAAGGAGCAATGAAATCTTAACACTCTACAGACACAAATCAATCAATAATTCATGAAATACCTGTGACCAGATAGTGTAGCATGATTGCATTCAATGTTAAGTTTGAACTCATCTGTCAAAAATAATATTATCCATGTATCAGTATCGTCAAGTCATGTACATATGCAACGATAATTTCCAGCCATCAAACCACCAAAAATCCAGATCCAAAACAAATTAAACCTAGCTAAGATTAGTCGAGTACTTCTTTGTTTACAACGATGATAAAATAGACATCAGAAACAAAGCAAAATAGATATGAAATCCAGTTTAAGTATTAAAGCAACAAGTTATGTATGATTCAGGGACAAGCACGGAAACTGGCAAAAAGATTCTTTTATTGCTCATCTTCAATGGCAAAGGAGAACCCTTATATTAGGTTTTCTGCATGAGAAGAAGCTAAAAGACCAGAGATTGAAAGAAAAGGAAATCTTAAAATCACCTATAAGGCCGTATTTACGCAAGAAATTAGCTGCGGTTGCTGCATCCCAGTCATACCTAAAAGATATTCTTGTTCAGATGCCAGGAAAAAGAGAGAGAGAGAGAGAATAGAAGTCTAGGTGAAAAACATACTGATGCTTGGTAGGCTCCTGAGGTTTAGGTTCAATAAGCAAAGTTCCTGCCAGAAAAGAATACAAAAAAGATGGCATCATGGCAAACATGAAAATTATTATTGATGATAGAGCAAATGCAAGACATGATGTACATATAAAAAGATTAATTACATATATTTATCAAGTATTCGTTTGTTCTAGACTAAAAAATGTAAACAAACAAGACATTACCATTAAACCCTATCTTCTTCTTATAGTTGGCAGCAGCTTCAAGAAACCTTGCCTGTCAAACAGGAGATTATTGTGCATCAATGCCTATTTACGAAGTGAGTGATTGAAAATGGAAAAACAATAGGATGCTGACGAAATTACACAAAAGAATGAAAAAAGGTGAAGAAGATGTGCAATTTTCAACGTCCCATACCAAAAATTTGAATGAAGATCATATTGTATGACAAATAAAAGAACAGAAACCATTAAAAGGTAGAAACAAAAGTTGATAATCAGATTATGTCTCGTACCATATGATCAAGTTCTCTTCCCATATCCGTATTTAAAAGTGTCTGATAACCCTCACGGCCACCCCAGAAAACATAGTTTTCACCACCTAAGTAATGAGTCACCTGTATCATGTAAATGCGATATCAGCACGATTCTCCAAATTGAAACCTAACAGCTTCTCCTGTCAATATTGTGGCAATCACTCACCTCCATCGCCTTCTTTACTTGAGCAGCAGCATATGCGTATACCCCGACTTCAGGACTGCAAAGAGAGGCTCAAAGTTGTGAAGGTAGCAGCAAATATTTTTAACAAACATAAATGAGGAAGATGGTTATTCATACCTTGTAGCCCCTCCGTGCATGTAACGAGGATGATGAAACAATTGAGCTGTACCCCACAAGGGATGAATCTTGGAACCCTGCTTTTCAGATACAAGTCAATCAGAACCCATAGATTTTGAATGCCAACTAGACTCCCCAGCTTGTCCTACTATTTAATAATCAAGAATAACAGTATACAGATATTTTGCACAAGACAACAGTATAGGGATAAGTTCACTCAAACATAACAAAATTATATGGAGGGCATGCACAACAAAGACTATAATATAATACTTTTGACATATCAGAAATATAATGAGATTCCATGTATAAGAATCTTCAAAACAGACTAATTGAGTAATTGCTATAGATTTAATGACCCCTACTAGGCATGATCATTGAAATCATTGGGAAATTACAGACTAGTATAACAACAGTAAGCACAGATACGATTCTCCATCAACAAGCGAAAAATGTAACATTCCGAATGTATTTACTAAGCAGTTGGCTAGAAAATACAGTTTTTAATGGTTCCAAAACAGATACAAGAGCCAAAGATTGATGATGCAAAGAAACTAATACATCAAAAACATGTTTATAAAGTCAGGAGATAGGCAGTAGCAGATCAGCATGGAAAAACATCAAATAGTTGAAAAGTGATTTATTTTAATTATAGATTCTGGACAGCTATACACATTAAATGAAGGATGCTAGACGAATTAACCAGTGAATAAAATTCTACATGGGTGATGGATTTAATGTTACAGCACAAGTAGTAAACTACTAGACCCTGTTGCTTTAACTGAGGATCAATGATTGTAAGATGGTAGATACGTAACACTTTAGGGAAATACACAAAGGAGCCAACTGTAGCTCCTAGTTATCCAGTTCATTCCACACCCCACCATTCCCTAGGTAAATAACTTTTGGAATGTGCAAACTGGTACAGGGTTAATCAATGGGCAGACTGACTAATTAAAATAACAAAGCAAAATACATTCCTACACAAGTACATAAGTTAAGCAGAACATATGTTGTATATGACATTTTCTTTAACAATAAATTCCCTCAAATCATTACAGAAGTCAATGTTTCGACTAGAAATAGATTGATATAGGTAAGGCTTCTTTTCAATGAGCAGATTAGTTTACATTCCTACACAAGCAAAATACATTCCTACTAATTAAAATAACAAAGCAAAATACATTCCTACACAAGTACATAAGTTAAGCAGAACATATGTTGTATATGACATTTCCTTTAACAATAAATTCCCTCAAATCATTACAGAAGTCAATGTCATTTCGACTAGAAATAGATTGATATAGGTAAGGCTTCTTTTCAATGAGCAGATTAGTTTACATATATTGTTGTGATAGAAGCACACTCAAGAACCATACACTATGTTTCCTGTTGAAAATTGAGCCAAGACTCATCAAATAAGTTTACAGGATATGATTTCTAAAAGGTTTGCGGTAAATATTCACATATTTTCAACGTGACACATGAGTGGAAGGTTACATGAAACTTTAGAGATCATATTAGTAAATATAAGTATCAACTTAAGAAATCCACTTTGTTAAGTTGCAATATTTGAAATAATTGATCAATCAAGTGTGGCTTGAGCAGATTTGTGCCTCATCTCAGCAACTTGCTAGCCACTGAGGCAGATTATTAATGCAATATAATTCACTAAGACATCAGACAAAAGAATTCAGAAGTTTAACTTCCTTTAGTCTACCATAGTGTATATCCTCAAGTCATTTTATGTTTCTCATGATACCCTCAAAACCAATTTGCATAACATTAGTTATCCCTGAATCATATAGTACGAATTAGCATACAGAAAAAGAGGGCCAAAGACTCAATACAACATACCTGCAATTCTTTAGCTAAAGCTACTATTTCATCCATATTTTTGTTAGTTTCCTGAAACAAACAATTGAAATCTTTAAATCTCCAAATGAAACAGAGAAAAATAAAGAAGAAAAAACATACAGCAACTCCAAATTAGCTAGCATATAGGTTTATTATTAATCTTAGAAAATTGCACATCAAACTTGGGCTGTTTCACTCCAGGCCCAACAATTTTGACAGCCCTATTTAGTATCAAGTCATAGACTCAATTTCATATCCAGGTCTAAGAAAGTTAGTGTACCTCCAAAGTTTTACCATCTGGAGCTATATCCCTATCGTGGAAGCACCAAAACTCAACTCCAAGCTTATCAATGAATTCAAAGTTAGCTCTCACTGCAAGAAAGAAGGCAATGTTAGCCTAATTTGACCTCTGATATAGGATCCAAATTAGAAGGCAGAGAGTGCATCAATGTTACTTCTTCTCTTTGCCATGGCCAAAGAATTGGTGCCATCTTCCCATGGCCAATGTTTTGTGGGAGCACCAAATGGATCACCTCCTGTTCCACGGAATGTATGCCAAAATGCAACACTGAATCTAAACCAGTCCTGTAAATTCATTAAAGAATAATTAGGAGCACATTATATATACAAAATTTTCCTTTTTCTAAGGTCTATAAACCTAACATTTGGAAGATAGTTGAAACCAACCTTCATTTTCCTTCCTAGGATCACCTCTTCAGCATTGTAATATTTGAATGCCAGATGGTTCTTGCTGTTAGGTCCCTAAAAGTGGCGCAAATACAAAGAGCTTAAGGCATTGTTTTTCATAACAGGTGTAAGAAGAACAACTTATAGACTTACTATGATATCTAAGCTTGCATTCACACAAATACTAATAACTTACCTCATACTTAATCTTGGGAATTTCAGGGAAGAACTCCCCTACCCACTCATCAGTATCACACCCACTGCCCTCAGCAGGACAAGTTGGTGGACCGACTGCCATCTACATACAAATATAAACACGGTGAATAAGATAGCTATACTAATTAATCTGAAAATGAAAAACATATGAAAAGTTAAAAGTGAAGTGCTAAAAGCATGTTTACCACTGCAGATAAAGCCAGATTTAAACAACATAGGAGCAATAAATTCATTCGCAACCCCATTCTGATCAGTTTCGCACACTTCTGCCATAAGAGCAACAAGAATCATCAGGGAAAAAAAAAAAAAAACTATTATCACAAATTAAGTTGCAGTAAACAGCAATTTACAATGACAAGAATTAGACAAAGAGAAGAACCCTACTCTCCTAGATGATCCTAGCGCGAATCAAGAACAGTATGCTAAAAAGAAAAAAGGTCACAAACAAAGCTCACTGCACAGATTCCAGCACAACAATTTCTATTACTAGGTGCTCCTCATGATTCAAAAACGAAATTAATAAAAGCCAACATCAAAATATCAAAAGTTCAAAACTATGGATACTACAAAAATTGATCCAACTACATTTCGGCCGCATTGAGTAAGTCTGTCCTACAGACTATAGTCCTTTATACCGTGAAAATGAACTCATACAACAATTGCTCTAAACTCGCTTTCGAATCATTAATGTCACGGTAACAAGCAAAGCAAAACACAGTCCAATTCTATATTAGAACCAATAACAACTACTGAGCAGTACTTGAATTACAATCAGAAATTGCAGCTAAAGCCTAAAAGACAAAAGGGTGAAAAAGAAAGATATTTTTGAGATATTTTTTACCTTAATTTTCATAACTGGACATGATGCCAATCAACAATAACAAAGAAATATCTCTAAAACCCTTAAATTTAGAAACATTGCTTACTGAACCTAACAAACCCCCACAAGAGGTAGGTGGTTCAATACTTGGTCACATTGTCACATTACTAGATCAAATTACACTATTAACTCGACTATTATTAATTTCGAGGAGGGAACATATACACAAACAACAAGATGATAATTTTAATCAAATCAAACACCTGAAATAGCTGAAAGGGAACAAAAAGCATAAATATTCAATCAAAAGACTAAATTTTTAATGGAATCAACTCATAAAATTTGCAGAAATTTCTATTTTAAATACCCTGAAAAATAAATCATAGAAAAACCCACCAAGAATCGTTTACTGCAAAATCAATTTCACAATCCAGTAATAGAAATAATTAACCAAGAGAAAAAGGTAAAACTTACCAATCAACCTAATATAAATGTATAATCAATTATGAAAGCAAATTATAAATAGCCAAATAGGAGATTTTGAGAAGAAAGAGAGAATTTATAAAGATAGATTTGGTTTATCAGTTTCAACCAATTTATCAGGCATATTTTGAGTTTTTTTTTTTTTTTTTTTTTTTTTTTTTTTTTAGCTATACGACCTGATCACTAATCAGTCAGTTGAAACAAGGATATACTTCAAAAGTTTTATATTAATCCGAAAGTTTATCCATTGCTCTTAATTTTTTTTATTTTAATTTTTTTTTTTAAATATAGAGGATTAGAGGTTATCTTTTAATGCAAAATGCATACTCATTTAATGACGTGGATAAGTTCACACATACCTTTCGTGCACCTTTGATAATATTGATAAATTCATAGATTTCATACCAACTAGATGAATTTTTAAAAATATACTCCGTTTTTTTTTATTTTTATGTATGTGCTAAAATTTGTTATACATTTAGATAAAATTTATATCAAAAGATAATACGGAGTACTTTATATTTAAATAATTTAAATTTAAAAATCTCATTCGATAATTTTGCTTATATGACATTTGAATTATTTAATTTTAAAAAGAAATTAATAATTTATGGCTCTCTAAGAACTCGGGAAAAAAAAAAATCTCTTTTTTTTTAAAAAAAAAAATATTTTTTTAATTAGGTATGGTTAGTGGTGAGTTAATTGGCCTGAAAATAAATTAGAGTACCTAAAAGATGAGCAAAAAAAATTCAGTACCTAAAAGATAAAAAATAGAAGAATGGAGTACCTAATTGTACTCTTAACTCCTTTAGGGACAATATAAAATAATGTGACCATATATGGTGGTCTTGTTACAAACTTCCAACATAGCCTAATTCTATGTGTGTTTAGAGATAAATAAAAACATAAGACTGCGAAAGCTACACTATGATTTTATGCATGTGGTGAAGGACGTGTCCCTATTCTTCACACTTAAAAAAAAAAAAAAATGGTAGCAACAAGACAATGGTAAATGTCAAAATAGATAATTACTTATACTTCCTCCGTCCTTAAAAGAATGATCTGTTTAGTTAAATTTTAGTCTCAAAATATTTATTCCATTTGAAATTAAATACCTTCCACTTCACAATAATATTTGTGCAAAATTAATTTTCCCATGTAAATTTTGCTTTTTCCATGTACTTTTATTACCTTTTCTCTTTACTTCTTTTGCAAATTTCATGTAAATTTACCTTTCTAATGTAATTATATTAGCTTCCTCATACACTTGTACTTCTCATTTAAGTTTCTTAATACCCTTGAAAACTCCTCAAAAAAGTTATTCTTTTAGTGGCAGAGGGAGTATGCAAATAGCCTTAATAACAATCTCTCCTAAAAAAAATCTAGCCTTGATAACAATGTCAAAACTCGAGTTTTAGAAAGAATAATAAAATAGGAATCACTTATACTAGGAAAAGTTCCATTTATTTTATCATTATAGTGTGTATTAAAATAATATGGAAAAAATATACTCCATATTATTTTCAAGAATTGTCTCTTAATTGGAATGTTTTTTTTAAAAAAAAGGTTAAGCAAAATCAATACTTCGAATATCTTGAATCCTGAATTTTAGAATATGAATTAAGAAAATTCATTTATATTAGGACATCATCTAGATTATGGTTATTTTCCATAATACGGAGTAAAATAAGTATAATTGTTGAAATAATCTTAAAATATGTCTCTTTTTTTCATAAAATAATTTTAAAAAATGTATGTTAAGGAAGTTAAAAATAAAAGTAACTTTTTTGAAAGAAATTATGACTACATAAAATCTAAATTTTGTATTTCAAAAAGAATAAAACATGACATAAAAAATATAGTTACCAATTTAATTTCTAATGCCATACATTTTTTATGATTTCAATTTGAGTACTCCGCTTATCACACCTTAATAGGACACAAATTGAATTAACCTAGATTTGACCTAATTCGAAGAAACAATCGACTTGTTAACCACCTCTGCAAACATGAAAATATATCTTTCGTTAAAATAGTGTGAGGAAATATTGGTAGGAGGCGAAAACTAGAAGCTACCCTTACCTTCCATTCAATGCAGTTAAGACAAACTAACACAGAGCCAAACAAAGTCACCAGCCTTTCAACTTTCATGCAAAAATCTCTCATTACACCTATATAGGAAACTTCCTTATATAGTCCCTACCACCATAAACATCTTCATGAAATTGACAAGGAAATTGCAAGAAAATGGCTTAATTAGACGTCAACTGAAAGCCAAAAAACTAAAATGCTTAGTAGGCCAATGCAACAGAGAAAATTTTCAGATATAAGGGTCATAACATTGAACATTAGCTACTCAAAAATCGCGCTTAAAATCTGTATATTAGTGTGAGCTGATCAGGAGGAAGTACAAGGAGGGAAATTTACGGTACCATAATAGAAGATGGTGGTCTCAAAGACTATAGGGAAGTACCAACTTGGTCGAACGATTGGTGAAGGGACTTTTGCCAAGGTTAAGCTCGGTAGAAACATCACCAACAATCAAATTGTTGCTGTTAAAATCATTGACAAGCAGATGGTCCTGTCAAAGAAACTTATGTCTCAGGTGAATTTCCTAACAAAGTTTTGGTTCATGCATAATATTTACAAGAATCATTACGTTTATAGTACTGATTAAGATATTTATAAACATGTTTGCAACAGGTGCAGAGAGAAATCAGAACGATGAAGCTCTTGAATCATCCGAACATTGTAAGAATACACGAGGCAAGTGTTTGTACCTTTCATCACACTCATACCCTCTATTTCATATGATTTACATGTGTTTTTCCTAGGAGAAAAGAACAAAGTTTTAACTCACCAACCATTTGTCACAGGTTATTGGCTCAAAGACAAAGATTTACATAGTCATGGAATATGTTGCAGGAGGGCAACTCTCAGACAAATTGGTGAGAACACTTCTTAGTTAACTTGGTAATTAGTTCTCAGTTCGATTATTTCTCGGTTACCTGATTCTGTTCCTGATTGTCAAGACTTACGCGGAGAATTTAAGTGAGGAGGAAACAAGAAGATACTTCCAGCAGTTGATTGATGCAGTAGACTATTGCCATTCCAGAGGAGTATATCACAGAGATTTAAAGGTAACGCGAATATCTGCAAGATGTACCTATTCTGAATTCTGAAAACTATCAGTTTTTTCAGAATTCACCTTGTCTTAAAAAATTCTGCCAGACTGACTGAAAGCCTAAATTCCCATAAAATATACATAGAAAATACATGTTAAACCAGAAATTGAGATTGATTAATCTGATCTTGACCTGAAAAGAATAGCATATACGTAGTAACCCGACTGATCCTGTCAAAATCCCAATAATTATATTAACTGACCCTGATATGTACTCAACCTGACCGACCTGTTTGACTTGTCTCTATATATATTATGCAGCCAGAAAACCTGCTTTTGGATAGCCAAGGAAACCTCAAAGTATCAGATTTTGGACTCAGTGCTTTACAAAAGGTACATATTTAAATGGTGTATCATCATTTTTTTTCTGGAATAATATATGAATTATTGTTTGATTTGTTCAACTTACTAAAGCTCTAATTAATGCTGATAGCCTGGAAGCTTATTATCTACAGCATGTGGTTCTCCAAGCTACGTTGCACCTGAGGTAAGAGCAAAATATTATATTCCTCTGTTGCTAAGATAAAATTTTTCAAACAAATAATTGTAAGGGAAAAAACGTTAGGAAACCCTTCTCACAAGTTGAACCCCTAAACCTTAATGAGACTTTAGAATCAAAAATAGGTGCGAGCTACTACAATTATCAATTTACATAGCAGACAAATATAGATGACTGATAAGTGATAACATGTATAAAAGCGATTGAAAGAACGAGCTCTAATTTTGTTTAATTGACAGCTGCTGAACCATAAAACCTATGACGGGGCAGCTGCAGATGTCTGGGCTTGTGGAGTGATCTTATTTGAGCTGCGCGCTGGCTATCTACCATTCACTGACGCCAATCTACTGAATCTGTACACAAAGGTATTTTCCCTCACAAAAAAGGAAAGCAAGAATGAAAATTCAGGTATTACATAAGAAATCTTCATCTGACATATTTTCCTCTGCATAGATATTGAGAGCTGAGTATGAATGTCCGAAATGGTTTACACCAAGTCATAAGAACCTTATTGGAAGATTATTGAATCCTCGTCCAAAGAAGGTAAGCGGATTAATCTTCATATATCAGCACTGAAAACAAAAGGTCAATCTAATCAGCCTCATCGTCTGTCATTTGCAGCGAATTACAGTAGCAGAAATCTTGGAAGATGAGTGGTTTCAGAAAGATTATCAGCCTACTGCAGGAATGGACTTCCAAGGAAAGAACAACAATGTTGTTCGAGAATTTTTTGAGTCACAAAAGGTAATGACTATGCCAATACAAGAAACACGATTGACTAATTACAATAAAAAGAACATACCAGCTAATAGCCAAGGCTACCTTGCAGGAAAGTTCAGAAGATGTAACCATCGCTGAAACTAAAGGATTTATCAATGCCTTCCAACTAATAGCAATGTCATGCGACCTTGATCTATCAGCAATGTTTGAAGAGCAGGCAAGTTCATCTACACTAACAATATGAGCAAGACAATAAATTATTTGAAAAAAAGATGCATATTTCTTATTGGCTGAAGTAGGCAAGAAATCCTTCAAAAAAAAAACATAAAGAAACTGTAAATTAGCAGTCTTAGGCCTTGTTCTCTTCCCTTAATTTTACTCGACTGAAACTTCTTTTACTGATTCAAACCGCTTTTGTTGATTAACTATAAAAACAGGGCGACAAGGAGAACAGGATAATGCTGGGATCCAAATACACAATCACTGAAACTGTACACAAAATAGAGGAGGCTGCAAACAATGCGAGTCTTTCAGTTGAAAGGATGAATAACAGCAAGATGCAAATAAAGCTAAAATCGAAGTTCCGTTCATTTTTTAATCTGTTGGCAGAGGTGGTTGAAGTGGCACCAACAGATTGTGTTGTGGAAGTATCGAAACCTGCTGGAGAATCAGAACTATATCAAGAGGTAATTTCAGGATTCTAACTGTGAAATTTTCTCAGGGTAACTTAATTTCTTTGAAAAATGCTGAACTAACAATATTTGATATGTTCTGAAACAGTTTTGTCGAAGTTTGTCTACTTTGCTGACATAAGGATCAGGCCAACATCTATTATGAGGTATCAAATGATAAAAACACCACTAGCTCAAGGAAAAAAACGCGTAGAAGATGGATCACTTGATATCGACTCCAAAGTGATTGATAGCTTCAAGCTTCCGGGAATTAATTATGTTGTAGTTGAGTGAAGTTGTATTGTGACAGTCAAGGAAATGAGAGAAAAGGCAGTTATTAAATAAAACTAAGCTTGATCAGTTGATCCATTTAGTATGTTCTCTGGTTCATTATATTCCAACTTCTAATGCTATTGGCAGCAAGGTAAAATCAGTAAGTTGAATGAACTACTTCGTCCAACTGAAGTTGGTGTGATCTTTGCAGTGATTATTTAAGACCGTAGCAGGTTCTAGAGTGTTGATTACTCCCTCCGACCTCCGTGTCGTTCAATGGCTAGTTTGTACTCCATGTTACACTATCAACGTGACTACAAAATCCAAATAGTGGCAGCATTGGTTCCAAAGCTTCAGCCATTTGTGGAGAAACGATCAACAAAAGATAACTTTAAAGGATTAATTTCAGAAAATAAATAAATAAAGTTCGATATAACTTTTACGCCTGGTTCCATTGCTGAACTTAAACCAGGCTTATAGCCTGGATCCATTACCCTCATCATTATATCAAATTCTGCACCAACAAATTCTGAATTTACTCTCTAATTTAAGAATAAGCAATTTTTTGGTGTAGCAGGCCACATCATGCGGTAGGGATTACCCGAGTTTTTTTGTCAGGGGTTACTTGAGTTTCAGTCAGGGGTTACTTGAGTTAGAAGGCCAAGTATTACTTGAAGGGTTCGGACATGGTTACTCGAGGGGTTCACTCGGTTAAGGGTTACTCAGTCAGGAATTACTTGAGTTACTTGGTCCCGAGAAGTCGAGTTACTCGGTTAGGGGTTACTCGAGGGGTTCACTCGTTTAAGGGTTACTCAGTCAGGAGTTACTTGGTCTCGAAAAGTCGAGTTACTCGGTTAGGGGTTATTCGGTTAGGGGTTACTCGAGTTTCTCCGTCAGGCTGCATACAAAAAATTCTGACTCAAGTAACCCCTGACCGAGGAACTCGAGTAACCCCTGACCGAGGAACTCGAGTAACCCCTGACCGAGGAACTCGAGTAACCCTGGCAACTCGAGTAACCCCTGACCAAGAAACTCAAGTAATCCCGGAAACTCGAGTAACCCATGATCGAGAAACTCAAGTAACCCTGATCAAGAAACTCAAGTAACCCCTGTCGCACGTTACAGTAGGCCGCATATAAAAAATTGTGATCCTTATGTTAGTAAAGTCACCTTTTTGTTCAGAAAACCTTTTAAAAAACTATTGGCTAGGAGAAACCAATTTTAAACTTTTTTTTTTTTTTTTTTGGTTCTAGACAACCAAGTTCCACTTTCCAACATTGACTGATGTTCACGTGATTACTAATTTCCTAATGACACCCCCTTTTCCTAAATTCACTCACTTTTGCCTCCAATTAAACACTCTCTCTCCTACTCTCTCCAATTCTCCATAACCAACACAGACACATTACAAAGTCGTATATTCTGTCCGAGTCATCCTTGTATATCAAAAATTCAACACCATCAGAAAATACATATCTTTATATATATTGAATACTTTAAGTTATACTGTCATGAGAGAGAACAGGAAGAAGAAGAAGAAGGAAAAAAAAAAAACAGCTCTATTGCAGGAAAAGTGAGAGCTCTAGGTTCTTGCATAACACTGGCTATGATAGATGAGAAAGGTAATAATTACAAAGATCATATACTAATACTAATAGAGAGTAAGAGCGTTCTAAATTCCAAAAATGACGTCTAATAGATGTACATGAGCAGAATTTTCAGTAAAATACAACATGAGCAGCTATATCTAGTCTAAGAAATGCAGAGTAAAGCATTATAAGTTTACAATTCAGACAAACCCATGGAGTGCAAGATAAGGAGCGATATTGCCGGAGATTAAACCAGGAAGTTGTTGATCATATGGTAGATAACATCTGCACCATCAGAATTCAACCAATAGCTCTTCACCTATGTTTATCGAAGACATGCAACTATTAGTACCATTCCATTGTAAGAGTTATCAATTAATCAATCAAAGCTTTAATCCCATAAGTGGGGTCGGCTACATGAACCAAATTTGATTATTCCATGTAATGATTGACCATTGTAAGATTTATGCACTCCACAAAAAATTGAATAAAAAAAATCATGAAAAAAAAAGATGAATAAATAGTGAGCACTTTACAGTCAGCTTCGAGGTAGTATATGTTATTTATCCGGACTAGCCTTTCAGCTTTATAGTTTTTAAAGAAGCAATTACAGTTCCGGAGCACTCCCTCCAGGAAAACAGAAGAAGGAAAAAAATATCAGCGGAGGTCAAGCTCAAACAGAACTTCACATATAACTTCTTTCAATCTATCTTGATAATAGGGTCCGCCAGGGGATATGGTATAAACCCTTACCAGAGTTCCAATAGATTTGAAACCACATCTACTTTTAGATACACTCTTTTACTTTATTCACCTTTTGCATTCTCTCTTACTTTATCCTACTCTATATTACACTCACTCACATTCTTCAATACGAGAGTTTTCTTAACTTGCGTATCTACAATAACTGAGTAGAACATAAATGGAGAGGATAAATACAACAGTACTAAGTAGCAGACTGAGAATGCAGCACATGCATTTGGTTTGTCACTTACCTGAATGGTGTTATGTGCAATGTATCGCTGTCTGCTCTGATGGAAGCTGACATCTACACGTTCCCAAGGTACTTGGTTAAGACCTCTGATCATCTCCTCTATAAGGGGCCAGAAAATATACAAAATTAAAAAGAATAAGAAACTGATAAGGAAAAGAAAGAAAACTCGCTCATTTAAAACAATGTGCCCTCAGTATTGAACCACATACTCGTTAATAGAAAAATCTTGCAAATGATATTTCCCCCAGGTATGAAAAAGTTTATGAATCAATAATGTCCTTTTTTAACATAGGAAAAGATCAATAATGTCCTTGAATATTATGTGTATATGATGAGATATTTAATAGTTCCATTCAAAAAACTGAATTAACCGGTAGCTGGGATCTATCCAGCACAGAGCCTAATATCCAAATTGCAGGTTAAAACAGACCTTCATAGTCGAGTGTCTGGTTATCAGCATATGAAGACACTTTATGGCGACCATTATCCGGAGTGTCATGCTCAACGTAAACAATATGAGGGTACTTGTCATCGTTTGCGAGTAAATTAGACTAAAAAATAGAGAGAAAAAGTAAGTTTAGTGACACATTTTTTTTATCAAAGACTAATGAATATATTGGTAAAAGTGAAATATGATAAGGAGATTCAGGACAAAGAAACATCAACCTTAGGTAGTTCATGCCGCCTGCGGATTGAAGAGGTGCTCCACCCAACTACATCTAAGAAGCAGTCAGGAACAACAGAATAATTGCATCCAATGGCTTATATAGCTCACATAACAAAAGAAGGGAAAATCAAATTTTAATTAGGGAAGGATACGATCAAAGTCAACATTGGCATAAGCAACACGCCGCTTGAAAGATCGTAAAGCAGAACTGTGAAGGTCCAAAAAATAACCAGATTATACTGATGAAAAAGTCAATATTTACATGTCAATCACGAGACAACTAATGATATACCAACATGAATTTTAGTTCATATGAATCAGAAGCCATACGAACAAGAAGTGGAGGTTTGCCTTCTTCGGTATCAGTTAGAAAGAGATGCTTTCCAGACCTTCCAGCAATCAAGTGCGCAGTTTGTGAAGCTTGTTTCTCCAAGAAAAGGACGCCACAAAGGAAAGGCAACTGTGGTTAAAACAAGTTGTGGATGAGATTAAGGTTTTTAATTACACTCTAGATGGCTCTCAAAAAAATGTTAAAAACAAATCAAGAAATGTATCAGCATAGCAGGACACAGAGCCCTAGACTTAGATGGACAAGGTACAAAACTGGGTGGTTCAGAACACACTGAACCAGAATTGGACCAGTACCAGGCCTCAACAGACCCTTGAGGTTGGGTATTTTATCCTTTTTTTTTTCCCAAGTCCTTCAATCTTTTAAAAAGACAGTCCAATGAACCAGGTTGTGCCTAGGGGCCCTAGGCTGATCCAGTGATCCAAGATTAAGCAATCCACTTAGAAGCTCTATGGATCAAGAACGAGTTGTCCTTGTGTTAGAAACTCTTGGATTTAGTCCATTTGCTCACTTGGGAGATCACTTGAAGCCCACAAAGGAGGCCATTTGCTATTTTGGGCTATATAATTTAGTTTGCTTTATCTTTTATTTAGGTTGTAATAAGGCTTAGAGGAGTTACTAACTTCCTCTCTTATTTAGCCGTAAGATTATGTGTGATTAAGAGTAAGTGTAACTCTTAATTGCTGATTCGTTACTATCCATTTAAATAGGTGTTACAAAGGAGTGAATTAAGAGAGTTTTATTTAGTTTTTGTAACTGTTGAATGTGGGCGGTTTTAGGGAGATGTTAAGTTGTAACCTTTCAGTTGCCTTGTTGCCCATATTTCCTATAAATTGGGAGATAATAAGAGAATGACAACTTTTGATTATTGAAAAAAAATAATAATAAAAAAAAAGAAGTGTTTTTAGTGTTTCCTTATAGCTTTGAGTTTATTCTTGAGTTATAAGATTAGGGTGAGCTTTGAGTGTGTCTTGATTTCTTGCCTAAGATCCTATAACTTTGAGTGTGTTCTTGAGTTTTGGTTATCTATCCCATTTCGTGAGTTTTTTAATGTAATTCATAACCCGTTCTATAAAGTTTGAATCCATCAACCTATATTCAGGTGGGTGTATTTAGACTAACATCATCCGGGCAATATTCAGGATCTAGCCCTTAACTTAAGAGTTTACACCTAGACTAAGCCAATTCAAGGTCACACCGGAAAAGGTAAACTTAGCTTGAAAACTAAACCAGCCTACTAGCTACCTCTATCAATCTTAGTGATCTACGAAGTACTAGCCATGCTACTTTGTCCTACTAGCTATATTATTATCCCTCTCAAATTGACCCCATCTCTCAAGGTGATGCTAAAGAAAAGCTAGCATGGCTGCTCCCCATGCATAAGTGACAGATGTAGTATCTGGATCACTAAGCACTTCAAAGAAGGGAACATACCTACTTAGTCCATCAGTGAATGACATTATAAAGCACAATTTAACGAGCATCAATAGTGCCATCTTCCGCCTCTTCCAGTCGTACTCCTTGTTGAAGTAATCTTATACAATTTGGCTGATGAAACAAGAGTGATCTCTCATCTTCGAATATAGTAGGAGAATGCTTATTACTGTATTATTGGATAAGGAACGATTTGCCATCAATGGGCAATTTAACTAGAAATGACACATCTTGCAGTGTTATTCCTAGTTTTTGCCCATGAATGTCAAAGGTGCTGGAAGTATGAAATATCCCTAACACCTTTGACACAAAAAACGACAAATTTTTTACCCAGGTCTGTTTGACCGATTTGCCCTTTAATGACAAAATTGAAGGGAAAATCGATTTATTTGACTGAATTTCCCATTAAGGCATTAATGACAAAATTGAAGACAAATCGATCAAACAAACCAAGGTCAAATTTTTTGTCTTTTGTGTCAAAGGTGTTGAGTTATTACAATCACATTTCCACCACCTTTGACATTCATGGGCAAAAACTAGGAATAACACTGCAAGATGTGTCATTTCTAGTTAAATTGCCCATTGACGACAAACCAGTGCTCATCCAACAATACAGTAATAAGTGATTAGGGGATTTTTATCCACCAAGCGCCGTTTGACAAGTGGACCAACCAGGTTCCGCCACGTGTCCACCCATGCCAAATGGGACAACCGGCCATCAAGGCCCATTTCAGTCTAGAAGCCCGATCGGCCCTAGGTTTACCTTAAACCTAGAGAGTTGCACGCTTCCCAAGGCTATAAATACTCGATTAATCCTCATTAATCAGGGGACCGAATAATTAACGGAACGGAGGAGAAACATTACGGAACACACTAATAACCGGCTGATCTCGCTAGCAAAGCAGATTACCTACATTAAATACTCTCACCTAGAGAGACCTTACTACTTTAATTTCTGTATTAATTACTCCTTAATCAGGTACTAACTTGACCGTTGGAGGCGGAGCTCTCAGGAGTCTCCGTTATTTTGCAGGTACAGGCGTCCGGTTCCAGTCTCGGAATTGTAGCTCTCCCGCAGGACATCAGAAAACCCCAAAACATCTGGCGCCGTCTGTGGGGAGAGTACTTCAGAGATGGCATCCAAGTCTGTACCGACCCCAGAAGAGAGGCGTCCCCTAGACGACCCTCAAGTTCAGTCGGACCATGATACCGAAAGTGAATTTGAAGTTGAAACTCATACAGCTCCAGACGGGACCCTAAGGGCCCGCCGTACCCGTCATACTGAAATAAGGGAACGGGAGTATCTTCAAACAGGAAGCGAGCCAGCAGGCGCACCGCTTGCTCGGCAACAGCCGACTGATGGGTCTGCTCCCATCACAAGGAACGAACTCATGACCTTCATGAGGGGATTCAAGGGAGAGATCCAAGAGTTGATCAACAAAAAACCGCCTGCTTCAGTCAAAGAGCAGGCGGCCAAAAAACCTTCCACTTCACTGAAGAGGAAGCCAGTTCAAGGGCGAGAGGCGACTCCCCATCCTAAATCTAAGAAGCGGGAGCCGTCTGCTCTTGATTTCACAAAACTCCGTTATCCTACGGGAAATAGGAAACCGGTTCGTCATATTCAGGCGGACGGGTCAAAGCAAACGTTCACAGATGCTCGGCACCTGCTAGAGCAGAAGAAGAGTGACCGATTATCAGAGTCGGCTTCTACTTCAAATTTTCAGGACAGTTTGCGAAATGCCTCGATGAGGCCAACTCAGTCGTACCATGAGAGTCAGTCAGGCGGCACCTCCCGTCAGTCTGGCTTTCATAGTGCGCAGGCGGTACCAAATTTGCCATTTGTGCCGCAACAACAATATTTTATGCAGCCACCTCCATTTGGTGGACCTGCAGCAAAAAACGTCCAACCTATGGACTGGCAGCTACGGCTGCTTAGACTTGGTGAACAGCCGTCGGCCTTCTCCAAGGAAATTACTGAAGCCGCTCAGCCGGCCAAAGTAAAAAATGTTTTAGTAGGCGCCTATGATGGCACTACTAACCCGGAAGACCATCTGATGGCATTCACCAACCTGATGTACCTTCAAGGGTTGGATGATCCCACTTGGTGCAAGTGTTTCCCAGCAACTCTCAAGGGAATTGCACAGCAATGGTTCGGCAACCTGCCGACTGGTTGTGTAAACAGTTTCAGGACGCTTGCTTACTTATTTGCCTCCAACTTTGCAATGAACATCCCTGCGAAGAAAACGACCCTTGATTTGGGAACAATTCAGCAGGGTGAAAAGGAGGGGCTTCGTTCCTACATCAGGCGGTTCAACCTGATGAGAATACAGATTCAAGGGTTACCGGATGAGGTAGCTTATACTGACTTTTTTAGAGGTCTCAAAGACGGGTCTACCTTCAAATTTGATTTAGTTCGAAAAAGGGTGGCGACTCTTCAAGAGGCCTTGATTGAAGCAGAAGCCTATATACAGGCGACTGATCTGTGTACAATGAAACAGTCGGACGGGAAGAGGTTCGACAATAGAGAAGGACGACAGAAACAGTCGTCCAACAAAGATGAAAAAAGAAAAGGGGTCTGGGCGGCTGATTCCTCTAAACAGCCGGCCAAGAAGAAAAAGGAATTCAAACCATACTCCCCAAAGTATGTGTTTAACAAGGATAACCAGTTTATCCTAAAAGAAATAAAGGGACGGCTCTCAATTGAGAAACCGCTCCCCATGAAGGGTTCTGCGAGCAACCGGAACCAAGACAAAATCTGTGCTTATCATGATGACATTGGTCATCACACCAACGACTGCATTAGTCTCATGCGGTACCTAGACCGCTTGGCTGATCAAGGTGATCTTGACACTTATGTCAAGAAATCTACGGGGAATACTTCCTCAAAAAAGCAGTCGGCCAAAAAGAATCAACAGGCCGACAGTTCCGATACAGATGATGCAGTCGTCTACACCATTGCAGGCGGCTTCTCAGGAGGCGGCCCCACTATTAGGGGCAACAAAGATAATATAAGGCGGTTAGATGTAAATTCCGTTCACCAAGAACGACCGTCCAAATATACATTTCCTGAGATTGTCATCACTGAAGAGGATCTAGGAGGAATAAGGGGGCCGCATGACGACCCTCTCGTTATTGAATGTAAAGTGGCCAACCAGAGAGTTGGTCGAATCCTCATAGATACTGGGAGCTCTTCAGATCTCATCAGCAGCAAATGTCTGTCAAAACTGAAATATCAGACGGACTGCATACATCCGGCCTCCCACCCTTTAATAGGGTTTGGAGGAGGAGTCGTCCACCCACTGGGACGAGTTGATCTACCCGTCCGCCTGGGCGAAAAAGGGGAAGGACGACACATGGTAGTCCGATTCCTAGTTGTAGAGGAACTCTCTGCCTACAACATGATTCTGGGTCGCCCAACCCTGAATAGTGCCAAGGCTGTTATAATCCCGTCACTTATGCTGCTTAAGTTTGAAAGGGACAATGGAACAGTCGGCTCCCTAAGGGGAGATCAGAGGATGGCCCGAGAGTGCTATCTCTCGGATGTCAAACCCACTGCTAAGGCCACTGGGTCAAGTGGAGAAAAAACAGACCTTGACAATGTCAAGGAAAGTGCGCCTGTTCAAGAAACAGGCGACAGAAAAAGAAAGGCGTCCCAGACAGAGTCCGCCAGAAAGGCA